AAAGAAGAGGGCTCCCTCAAGACGGAAGGCTCGGATGGCCCGCGGGTGAAGGGGGAGCCTCGCATGAGCCCCCGAGGGGGCTGCAAGAGGAAGCTGGCCATGTCAAGGTAGGGCAGGGCCGGGCGCACACCCACCTGGAACCCAGAGCGTTGAGTGGACCCCGCCACCCAGCAGCAGGCGGTGAAGAGCACCAGTTAAACCAGGCACCAAGGGGGAGCCCCAAGTCTGAATGGTGGTGTTCGCTAGCACATTCTGGGACACTGCAGTGGCGGTGACCGACACGGTGTGGTCAGCTCAGGGGGCGTAAATCTGGGGACTGGAGACGTTTGTGGAACCAGAGCTTGTTAGCTGTGAAGCGATTGTGCAGGACTTGTGCCTATTGGAGAAACTAGGAATCAGGGGACATCTAATAAAAACCAACAATGAGAAAGTGAGTGGAGTTTAATAGACAGCCAGTCAGCTTGCTCTTGAACCTTTTCACGGCCCCCACGAATGTTTATTCCTGGATGTAGTTTCTTTAGTGTGCTCATGTGGTCCCACAGATCAAACTGTGAAGATTCTACCCCTGACAGCTTGGGCTGTCTGTTAAGAACAGACGAGTAACGCCATTTCTGGGTTTTCTCGGTGTCCTTTTGCAAAGGGAGGGCATACATTACGATGAAGTTTACCTGGGCCTCATCCTGTCTTGTTTTGCTTGTGTGTATGCTTTTAAAAATGTCCAGATGCAGCTTCTAGATACACACACAAAAATATCTCTGAATTGCAAATTTCAAAAATCACCGGTTCATGTTAATTTCTAATTACAGTAGAAAAGAAATCAAACAGACTATTTTTCATATATATTTTCTCGAATTGCCTTTCATTGTGTCATTTGCAAACATTTTCACAGTTTTCAATGACAGCTATAAAAGAATTGATCAGAGTCGCTGACATATGCTTTATTTGCTTTGACTACGTGCCTGTAAACTGTAAATAGGCTTGATTCAGCATTCAAAGGCTGTAAGTTCATGAGTAGAGTCAATTTTTGAGTATTAAGTCACAGGTGAATTTTACAGGTGTGAAACTTGTGGGACAGAAGAGGCAAAGTACAGATGTCCACGCTGCATGAGATATTCCTGCAGGTAGATATGTAACTTTCTACCTTATTCCTGACCTCTTCCCACTTACTTCAGATATAAAACTGCCTTCTGTTTGTCTCTGCAGTTTGCCCTGCGTAAAGAAGCACAAAGCAGAACTGACTTGTAATGGAGTCCGAGATAAAACCGCTTACATCTCACTACAGCAGTTTACGGAGATGAATCTCCTAAGTGGTAAGTCATTCTATGCACAACAGGTGACTGCTTTCTGGCCACTGGCATATGTCACTTGTTAATTTTTCCTTTCTGAAATTACTAGACTATCGGTTTTTGGAAGACGTGGCAAGAACTGCAGACCAGGTTTCAAGAGATACTTTCTTGAAAAGACCAAAGCGCAAAAAATACGTAAGGATTTCTTCTGATCTTTTCAAGTTAAAATTGCTTCCAATGTTTATTCATTTCTTGGATCTATCAAGTGGCCACCCTGACCTGGGACTGTACTGATTATTCAAGATAGATCCAAAGTTTACCCTGCGGAGTTTGTATTGTTAGTTAAGTGGAAGAGGCCGGATGTAGAAACAGCAAATATAATTTCTTACAGATTCAAGTGCATGTAGAAAATTGGGATGGGTCAAAAGAGTAAAGAAAACAAAGTAGTCTGTGAGGTCGTAAACTTCGGGGTATGATTGTCAACACAGTGGTAGAGATGAGCATCTCTGAGGACCAGTTAGACGTTGATCTTAATGGTGTGAAAGAGAGTAGGAGTCATTTGGAGGAAAACTCTTCTGGGTAGAGACCTGGACAGAAGTGGCACAAGCCTGTGACCCAGCACTTGGAGGAAGACATAGCAAGACTTTGACTCAAAAAGATGCAGGCTGAGAACTGGTGTGTATGTTTGGAGATTACAAGAGGCAGGATAACTGAAGCATAGTGAATGGGTAGGGATGCTAAATGGAGTTTAGGAAAAGTTGTAGAGTTCCCAAGCATGCTAAGTAAAGGGACCAAGGGAGACTGTGTGGTGCTGCCTTTAATACCCTCAGAAAGTCAAGAGGCAGGAGAGACTCTTGAGACAGGCCATGCAGGGCCCGGTATATGAGCCTTTTTTGTTTGTTTCCAGAGAGGATTTCTCTGTGTAGCTTTTGGAGTCTGTCCTAGAATGCTCTGGAGACCAGGCTGGCCTCAAACTCAGAGAGATCCACCTGCCTCTGCCTCCCAGTGCTGGGATTAAAGGCGTGCGCCACCACCGCCTGGCTAAAATAATTTTTTTTTAAAGGATGACTTGCTGCTTGGTTGGGGTCAGGGAACCACAGTGGAAGACTGAAGCATGAAGAACAGTTTCAGGAGTGTGTGTCAACGTGTGAGAGGTGGTGGTGGCTTGGGTATGCTGTTAGAAATAACTGGAAAGTAGTGTGATTCCAGTTTTGACAAAACAGTTAGCCGGGCCTTGTGTCCTGACATATTAGTTTTCAGATTCGTGCTTCCTTCAAACAATAGGAAAATTAAAGGTTACAACTGTGAGATATTTGGTACCTGAGAATTTCATTACTACTGTGATTGAATCAGACCATTTTAGTGTAGAAGTGAGAACTTCAGTACCTTTCACACACATGTAGAAAGTTACCACGTAGCATCACTACTACTCAAGTTAAATTAAACATCACTGGATTCTATTTTTATTGTAAAATACAACATATGTTAAAAAATGGTAAAATGGAAATAGTGTAATGATAATGAAGTAATGAGAATCTGTAACTGGCTCTCCTTGTCACCCTGTGGTTTGCTGCATTGTCAGTCTCCTCTCCAGGGTTGTCTTAGAAACTGCTTTTGAGCCGGGCGTAGTGGCACACTGCCTTTAATCCCAGCACTGGGGAGGCAGGGTCAGGAGGATCTCTGAGTTCAAAGCCAGCCTGGTCCATAGAGGAGTTCCAGGATAGCCAGGGGTACATAGAGAAACACAGTCTAGAAAAACCAAAAAAAAAAAAAAAAAAAAAAGAAGGACTATAAACTGTAAGGCATTCTGAAATTAACTTTTGTTTGGCTTTGTTGCTAGCTGTTATTTATGAAAAATCGTGCCCGAAAGCAAGGTATTTTCTTAAAGCTTCTACCCAATGGATTCAGCAAGAGGAAAGAAAATTCAACAGTTTTTGATCATAGGTAGGTCTCTCATTTTTACTATGTAGCTGTTCTAATTTGATGGGGAACAACCTCCAGGACTTGGTTTGCTTTAGGGCAGTGTTAACGGAAGTGTGATCTGTAGAAGTCACTGGATGACAAGAGAAACTAATGTTATCTTGCTATCCTTTGAGAAGCTTCTCAGATGTTAGTGAGCATAATGAATCAGTAAACGTACTTGTGATTTAATTTCAGGAAGTTGGAATTGGGTGGCATACATTTCTGATAGTGCCACAATAATGCTTATGGCTGGCTTGGAATTTGATGGCATGGATTTCTAGTGGCGGCCAACAGTGCTCCTGGCTGGGAACCCTGCTTTGAGTAATAGTGTTGTGGAGTTTTCTCTGAGAACTAGGCTGTCATGGGGAGTATTTGAGGGCCTTACATTCAAATCTCCAAAGGATGGTAAAAGCTAAGGAAGTTCCTTTGGTTAAATCAGTTCCTCCTCTCACTCACCACTTTGTACCTTGCTGCAAAGTCAAATGCCCCAAGGGACTGACTCCCCTTTCCTTTGTAGACAGATTTCAGTGTATTGCCTAAACTGGTTTCGGTTCTTACTCAGATTTCCCATCTCAGCCTCCCAGGCAATTGGGACTGCAGCCTCTTCTTTATCATCTGGGGACTGGGGAGCTAGGTAAGCTGTAGTGTCCCTTTCCAGTTTACTGTTCCACAAATTGAAAAATTAAAACCCAGAATTAGCATCAGTTTTATTCCAGTAAAGCTTCTACCATTTCAAAAGATGTTCTGTAATACAAAAATGACATTATTCATTTAGTTTGTGTTTAAGACATATTAGTGAGAGTGATTCTCCTTGTTCATGATTGGTTTCCAAGGTAAAGTAGTTGCTTACTTTCACCAAATGTGAGATTTGTGTACTCTGAAGCCAACACACTGAGAGTTTGGCATACTTTGCTTTAACATTGCAGTTCTGTGCTGTGCTGTGAAGAAGCTATATGGGCTGTCATCCCAGATTAGTTCTTGTGGCTCAAGTGTAGCACTTTGTCTCTGGATAAGGAACGTGAGGAAGATTGTCCATTCTGTCACTGGGTTCAGTAACTTCATTTTGATTATGGACTGTTCCAAGATGGCAAACTGAACACTTCTACCCTAATGTTTTGCTTGTGGAATTAGAGATGTGATGCTGGTCTTGTAGTGTTTTGTCTCCAGTGATTATAATGCAGTTTGATTGAAGCTGTTGACCTATATTGAGGATATTTAATATGTTGAGTTTGTATTACAGACATTCTGTATTATTTTACGCCTTGTAGTTTGTGAATATAACCACAGGAGAAATATGTTCCTAATTTCTATTTTTCTCTGGAACCAGAATACTCTGGCTTCAAATCTCATTTACAGCTAGCTCTGCAATCCATGACTTTTCTGTCTATGCAGCATTTTCCTCGTGAGTGAGAGGGGGTAGTTTTAATGTGTCTACATGACTGGTTTTTATGTTTATTCAAAAAAAAAAAATCCTTTTAGGTCCTTTTTGGTTTTGTTTTTGTTTGTTTGTTTTTTTTTTGTTTTTTGGTTTTTTTTTTTTTGGTTTTGTTTTTGTTTTTCTTAGTGTGGGCCTATAGAACGTAAGCCAAGCATGGTGGTACTATTGTCACCCCAGCACTCAGGAAACTGTAATAGGGTGACCACAAGTCCCGGGGCCACACAGGGCAGCAAAAGAGAAAGGCCCTAGCTGAGAAGAAAACTTGAAATTTTATAATGTACTTTCCAGGTTTGTCTGGTAATACTTTAGTTTCTTTTCTTTTTATTTATTGATTTTTCCTATGAGGCCCAGGCTGCCTCAGACTCAGTGTGTCGTCAGCTTCTGATCTGCTACTGCTTTCTCTGGCGGCTGGGTTGCAGCTGTGTGCTGCTAGTGAACTCTGTCCAGGAGGAGGGCGCTACTGCCCCTGGAGAGTTTCTACCACCTCCCCTGGGGACATCTGCTGCTTCCTGCCAAGTTCACTGCCTCAACTCTTGTTTATGTATTAGCTTGCCCAGTGAATTTTCCCCAGTACAATTTAATTGCTGAATAACTGTCTTAGTTGGATTTCCATTGCTGAGTTAAACACCATGACCGAAATCAACCTGGAGGGGTTATTTTGCATACATTTCAATATAACCGTCCATCATCAAAGGAAGTCAGGGCAAGAACTGGAGGCAAGAGCTGCAGCAGGGGCCCTGGAGGAGCATCACTTACTGGCTTGCTCCTCGTGACTTGTGTAACCTGCTTCCTGTGCCCCTTTAGGACTGCCTGCCCAGGGATGATACCACCATGGAGGGTTAGACACTCTCACATCAATCATCAATTAAGAACTTCAGAGACGTGCCTACAGGGCATTTTCCCAATTCAGATTCCCTCTTCCCACGTTTGTCTAGGCTTGTGTCAAGTTGACAAAACAATCAGCACCATCACATCTATTCACCATCGTTTTTGGACATTTCAGTGCAGGCATCATTACACTGACCTTTGCATGTTTCAGCATTATTAGCTAGAGCTGGGTAGCTGTTTGCATTCTTCCTTTTATTGCAGTAGAGTTTGAGCACTGTGAAACACGTAGATCTTAATCTTATGTGTGGTGATATTGGGGCAGGAGGTCAGTCAGTCCATGACCTCACCCATCCACGCAGGTGCTGTACACTGAGCTGCATTCTCAGCTCCTGATCTAATCCCTGTGACTGTCATACCAGAAATTTCTCCCTACACACCCCTCTCTCTCTCTCTCTCTCTCTCTGCCCACTCCCTGAGCTGAGGTAAGTTTTCTTTGTTCTCCCCTTTGGCTGGAGAGTAGAATTTTCTAGTTACTGGCCCACTGTTCTTGTGATCTCTCTTAGAGGTCTTTGGCTTATTGGGTCAGCCTTGCCTGATCTCACTTGGTTAATCTGACTTGCGGCTGGGTCCTAGTAGGAGACTTTTCAGACTGTCTTCTCTGCCTTGTTGCCCTAAATAGTTGCATACCCAGTATAAAAGTCAGGGCAGGTAGTGAGAAAGAGGCGATAGGGGAGGGATGTAAGTACTTGCTAACCAGCAAGTTTTTCTAGGAATTTATCAATAGACATCTACAAATAGGAAAGGCAGGTAATTACCATGCATTCCAAATTAAATGTACTGATACAGAATGATTGCCAAAAGATTAAGTGACTAAAGATAGATGTAAAGCCATGCTCACTGTAGACTATCACTGTGTGGAATTTAAATTTTATGTCCGTATATACCATGCAGTAGCTGCCCACTCTCCCTTCCCCGTTTTCCAACTATATGGTTTGTACTCCAAGCCTTCCAGCAGAGTCCTAACAGTGTGAATAATGCCAAATCTTGTATGTATAGTTTGTTTCTATCATTCAGTGTATAAAGTAGGACTATTAAGTGAGTGACAACAGTAATAATGAAATAGAACAATAGAGTCAGTTTACATAGTGAAAGCTCTGTGGATGTGGTCTCTCTCAGAGCATCTTTCTCTTCAGTTCTCGTCACTGCTGTGGTGGCTTGAGATGATAGAGTGCCTACGTGATGATCAACAGTGAGATTCAGTGACTCCCCGTGTGCTGCCTCTCCAGCAGTCAGCACATTACGCTCCTCACTGAAGCTAGCTCCCTTCCATCTTAACCAGAGACTTAGTATGAAGTCATCACTTGGGGTTCGAGGCCTACTAGCAAAGTCAGCACAATTTGTTCTTACCCTGGACCTCAGGAAATTAGCATACCACTTTTTTACCCTGCCTCACGCCCTTAAATTGAGGGCTTTCCATGTGTTACTTAAAGTGTTTTGTTTGTTTGTTTGTTTGTTTGTTTTGTATATTCACATTGCTGGCATCACTGCTCCTAAACTTTGGAGACATTGTTAAATAAAATAAGCATTAAGTTAGCAGCCCATGGAAACAGTCTAGCAACTCTCGTGGTGCACAAGCAGGAAGCACACACGGTGGATGAGACATCGCGTGCATCTTGTCTAACGGGATGGAGAGCAGATTGCATCTCACTACTCAGAGCTGTGCAGTTTGTAACTTAGGAATTGTGTGTTTGAGGGATTTTCCACCTGACTCACAGCTAACTGGGTAACAAAACCACAGATGTGAAGGGTTGAGAAGGGACTGCTGTATTTCACAAGGGTAGCAACTTTGGGGAAGGTGTCTTGATCTCTTTTCTGTAATGTAACAGGATAATACTGGCTGGGTAAAGAAGTTTTAGCTCGTTCTTTTAAGGGCTTAGAAGTCTAAGATCACATGTGAAACAAGCTTGTTCCCTAACTAGAACTAATAAATAAACAAATAAATAAATAAATAAAAAGAAGTCTAAGATGATGGTACAGGGTGGAGGTGTGCTTAGTGTCTTGTAAGGGCCTTCTTGCTTCTACAGCATGGCAGAAGACAACACACAAGAGTAGATAGATGCTGGCCTTGCTCTCTCTTTCATCTTCCTTTTGAAGCTGGCATTGCCATCATGGGGCTGCATCCTCCTGCTTGTCACATCTAGTGCTCATCAGGATCCAGAGTAGGATGGTAGGTATGAAAACGATGGTAAAGTTTCTAACACAGGACTCTGGCAGACCTTAGCAGGGGGTAGTAAATATGTGCCACTTTGTTCCTTTCTGAAATTTAGGCCATGTGTGTGTGATTTTAAGAATTATGTTGACAGGCATATACAGTTCATTTATGTATTTGTGGCTGAAAGTTTAATTAGAAAGTATCCTGACACCCTCATGTAAAAAGTCTGTGTCTTTATCCACACTACCAGCCTTGTGTTGTCTTTTGGATTTTGCTAGTGGAAACTTACCTGACCTGTTGGTTGCTTGAAGAAGTGTGTATGAGTGGGATGGCTGTGTTTTGGTAAAACGGGAATTGTAAAAGTGCAGAGGGAAGGTGCTTGTCCACTAATGAATGGCTTAGACTGAGGTGTGATTCTCACTGGATGGATGGCTTAGACTGAGGTGTGCTTCTCATTGGATGGCTTAGATGTGAGCTTCTCATTAGATGGATGGCTTAGACTGA